CTCTCTTGCAGCACCACCCCTACTCTGGTTTTAGACTTTCCTCTTTAGCCAGGTTTAAATATTGTATTCAGTGAGATGGTCAAACCAACTGGAGATCAATTAGCTTACTGTCAGCTATGGTTCAAATAAAGTATGAAGCCAAGTTGTCTGATACGCAGGGGGAAGATAATTCACGTGTCATCTGCCTCTTCAAAGATAGCTTTAAGAGTTTCTTGCAAGTCACAATAGCAGCAGGGTGGAAAAAAGTTTTCCTGTCCTGTAAAAGTGTTCAAGATTTGAATACTTTCTCCTGTGTTGGGGCAAACTGAGAGCTTTTTGGATTTTTTTTTTTCCTTTTTATTTTGTGTGAAAGCGAAGAAAGTGTCAGCCTCCAAGAGTAGCCAAAGTTTAAGGCGTATACTTGGACTACTCTCATTTAATTTTTGTTGGAAAATTCCCAAGCAACTCCAGATACAACTCTCATAAAATACCAGGGATGGAGTTTGTCAAATAATCCTGAAAGTTAATTGATAAAGGGAGCTGTGAGGCATCTTAATCTGATTTGACCCAATGTGAAGTTAGCTTTTAAAGCAGAAAGTACAGTCATCCCTTCCAGTGTCCTTTGCCAGTGCAGATGTATCTTGCCACTAGCCCATACCACAGCTCCAGCGATTTCTAATATGTAGCCAAGGGAGACTCAGCATATTTGGCAATGACATGCATTTCTGAAAGGTTACACAGAGAGCATCTCTCAATGAAAAATTCTGCAACAGGCAAATCCTAAAGCTGTTTGTGATCAGGAATGAGTTGGTCTGCATTGTAACTTAGTCCAAAATGCACTTCTTTGCTGAAGAGAGAGGGCTCTTGCTGTCGCCAATCATGGCAGGGCAATGTGCTTGAAAGCAGAGGTTTCTTATCTCTCCCACCTTGGCTAAGAATCTGTATTTTACCTTGGTTCTGGGCATGTTTTGCTTACTCAGGCTTCTCCTTGTGGATATGCAGTTCAGTGAAAGCTCTTTAACCTTAGTTATCTGGAAGATTCATTTATCTACAAGAATGTCGTGTTCCCTGCATACCCCATGCTAATTGAGCTCTCCACCTTGGAGAGACCAGGATCTTTTTTGGGTTACTTCTTGCAGCTTTGGGGGTCTGCTCACAATTAGTCATTTTTCTTGCAAGCTGCTCACCACTCCTGCCTCCAGCTGAATTATCCTTGTTTTGCTCCTATAAGGAAGTAGGAGCAATTAAGGGTTTGTCTCCTCTGCAGTCATAGCGTAGTGTGGCATAGCCATACCAGAGGTTACTTGGATACAGGTAGCACTCTAGCTGTGGCAGGAGGAAGCCTGTGCTTTGCTCTGCGCTCTGCAGTTAGACTGCTATCAAACTGCTACTCTAACACTAGGTTTTGGGTTCATCTGGAGTCACTGCTGTGACTGTAGGGGCAACATATTGCAAGACACAGAGGACAGAAGCCTGTGCTTTTTTTTTTTTGCTAAAGAATGCTGCTTGATACTACCCTTTTCTTGTCTTGCTGCTATCCGTGTGCTCTTGTTGCCGTCTATCTTCTGTGCTTTACACCTTGCCTCCCAACATCTCGTTCTATATTGCTCTGGTTGCATAGCCCTAATTATCAGAATCACATAACTCCTGGGCAGGATTTATGCCTGTGAATGATCTGATTTTGACACTGGCTTCCTAGGTTCTGATATTATGACCCCCTTCCCAATCTGTTTTCCAGAAATAAAAAGTCAGTGATACCTGCCCGGAACCTGGTGGCAAAGGATGAGCTGGGTTTTCCTAGGTTAAGTAAAACAAGGATGAGTGTCAGAGCTTTCAAGCCATCACCTAACCCATGCTTCAATAGAGAGATGGGGTTTGCAAGAAGATCTGAAGCTTTCCATGTTAGCGGTTTCTTTATTTCGCCCAGCGGTGATTCCTGTAACTTTGCTCAAGCATCTGTGAAAATTTTGGCTCTACTAATGAGGAATCTCCTCCATTCTGACTAGCATTTTCTTTGCTCCAGTGAAGCCAAGCTGTCATTGGAAGTCCATGGTTGCAGGGAAGAGGGGCTGTTTCAGCTACATCCAGTCCTGTTCAGGGATTTGCAGAGAGAAGAGCATTTGGTGTAGTCTGAAAACCAGTGCTAGATATGAGCAGTTCCCTTACCTGTTATAATATGTATACAGAACCATGAAGCATAATGCTCTGCTCTTAGCTAGGGTGATACATGCATCCATCACACCTAGCCTTGATGACTATAGCTAAAAGCTACAATTGGTTGGGATGGAGCTATCTTTTGTTCAGCAGCTCAGGGCAACCAGGACTCCATCATCCCCCTTTTGCTGCTGTGTTTGGCTCAAAAATCTCAGGCTTTTGTCTTTCTCCAAGTGCTGTGTGCAAATAGCCCGGATCTGTGACAGTGATCAGTGTCAACAGCCATGTTCCAGTGTCAGTGTTAGCCTCCGATCACACTTGTGCATGGGGGCGGGGGCATGTGCAGGTACTAAGGTGCATGGTTGGCAGCCTAGAGATCATAAGTTCAAGGTCATTGCAGAAGTGCTCACAGTGCAGCCCTGTTAGATTTCAGCTAATCTGTGAATTTTGCTTGTCACAAGGACATGAAAAGGCAGGGCTCGGTGTGCAGGAGGAGGATTTTTCCTCGATTCAGGCTCATGAATTTGGAACTCCTGAAAGGGGTCAGGCAAGGCCTGAACTTTAAGCAAACTGCAGAAAACATTTTACCCAAATAACAGCATTTCCTGAATTTCTGACATAGACTGAAAACAGCTTTTCCTGAGGAAGTTGCAAGAAACCCTAAAGTGGGCAAAGAAGGAGTGACCTGTCTGCATAGGAAATTCCTTTCTAACCGCTGTCAGTTACTGGCTGATCTGTACCCTGAATCCAGAAATACATAGAAATAAATGCAGCGGGACTAGAACGGCTAATTAGCTGTGGCTGTATCCAGTATCCACATAACTACCAATAGCCACATAACTATCTTCTGTCTCCTACTGAGTTCTCATCTTCAGTATCTGCAGGCTAATTTCATATCCTGTTAAAAAAAATGCTCTCTTAGTATTAAAATTGTTGCCCCCTTTTTTCATTGATTGTCCCCTTTGCCCCATTTTTGAAATGGCCTTCATCATATTCATTATTTTATATGTTTTCTCTAATACCATCATTGTCTCTGAACTTCTCTATAGTCCAGGTCAGAAGAACATAAGAACTGCCATCCTGGGTCAGACCAATGGTCCATCTAGCCCAGTATCCTTTCTCCAGTGCTGGCAAGTAGTTGGTGCCTTAGCAGAAGTGTGTGATAAATAAAGTGTATGTAGAATGATGCATCCCATGTCAGACCATTCAAATTACCAGCAGTTATAGGTGGAGGGATGTCTGGAGCCTGAGGTCACATCCCCAGGTGCAGTGGTTAATAGACTGTCATGGACCAGTCCTCCATAAATTTGTCCAATCCCTTTTTGTAGCTGGGTCTCTTAGTCTTTTCTTGTATGGCACTCTCTCTGTTTGCTTTACTGTAGAAATGTGTTTCAACATTTCCGAAGAATCAGAAAATAGTAGCTAGACCTATTTTGGAGTTCTCACTAACTGCCAGACTAGATGCCTGTTATCCATTTTGGTTTTAAAAGTACAGTTCATTGGGGCTGAGTAATTTAAAAACAAGTCAAGGGTTTTAGACTTGTGCCCTGCAGCCTCAATCTCCCTTAGATTGATGAGATTTATGTGCAGTCCTCCTCAGAGGGCATACCAGGAAAATGAGAGTGTAGCTTTCGTTAGTCTCTGAATGTAGCAACATCTTAATTAAAAATGAGCTTATTTTCAATGCCTTTGGCTTTCCAGTTTCCAGTTCAATGCCTTTGGCTTTCCAGTTTCTCAGTTCTGGTAAATATTTTTCAGAATATATCTGAAATATCCTGTCTGGTGTGTGTAGGGAGAATGTATATATATTTGGCTCCAAGGACTGGTATGTATTATCTTGTGAACAGTCAAAGAATGGTGTAACATTTGGAGAAGACACAAATCTGAATGTAATTACAATATTTTATACTCTTCCTTCTTAGTAATCAGCAAAGGCTTCAATCTTGTTCCAGTTTTCCCTTATGAATGACTTGTTCTCCTGCTTGCCTACTGATCTCCGAACAAGTGTACTTGCATGGAAAAAAGTGCTTATTTTGCATTAAAAGCAATGGTTATATTTCTGGTCCTAATTCTGTGATTTTAAAATTGCTTTCATCACCTTCCTCCTGAACAATTGGAAATATAAATTGTTATTTGGAGGGGTTTCCCTTGCCCCCCCCCCTCCTTTTTGGCAGTATTCTGCATTGATGGAAACTATTTATCCCTGAGAGTACTTGGCAAGCAAAGGATGATAAAAGGCAATTTGTATTGCTGCCTCTTTCTTAATGGGCCACAGCTACAGTACTTTATCATGAAAGTTTATGAACTCTTTGGGACAGGAAACATCTATTTGTTCTTTGTTTTGCACAGCACCTACCAGAGTGGGGAGTGGGCTGTGGCAGGGGCTTTGGTAATTTAAGTAAATAATAAAGGAAGTAGCTTTTGACAGATGAAGGTCTGTAGTCGCACCTTCAGCAGACAGGAGGTAGGATTCATTCAAGAGCAAACAGGTTAGAAGCAAAGAGATTTTAGTTTTGCCAAAGTGTGGGACCAATTTTGCCAAGTGTGGGACCAGATTGTTTTCCCATGAAATGTTCAGGTTCCTGGAAACAGAACGTGCTCTTTAAAAACATGCTAAAAGTTGGACCTGCAAGAAGAACAGTGAATCTCTTTCAGTAATTTTCAGACATTCAGAAACTAACCACAACTTGGTTAGTGTCTTATTTTTGTGTATTGTGCACATGTTACTTTTCTCCCCCCTCCCCCTTTCCAAATAGCTTTTTGGCTGTATTACCACCATCTTCAAATCTGTAGGCTTCTTTGGCTGGTATAGAAATGTGCCACTATTCATTGCAGATTCTCTTTTTTCTTTTTTTTTTTAATTATAGGTAGAACTTCATGTCCACCTGGATGGAGCCATTAAACCAGAAACCATCTTGTACTTTGGCAAGTGAGTTGGTTGCAACGAATGATTTGCTGATGACTATTCAGCTGGGCACCTGGGTTTTTAAATCAGACTGAAGAGCATAAACCCCTGATCGGAAGGAGAGAAATCCCAGAACCTGGCTCTGCATATGCAGTGATTTAACACTGTGTTAAACATGATTTCTACTAGCAAGATTCCATCTAGCCAATAAAGATAAGGGTGCTTTTTTTTAAGAGCACTTGCAATCTAAAGTGTGCCATAGATCACTGTCTAGCCCCACCTGCTGTTTCTGTGTAAACAGTTTCTATCCCTCCCCAGCCCCCTTCTCAGACAAAGTCTCTCCATATGTTCTGGTCAGAGATGCATCTGATTGAAATCCGCAACCTAAAAACTTGGCCTTTACTAGCACGGTCCTTCTGGACATGCAAATCAGAACAAAGTGCACAGAAGTGAACATTGTCTAATAGCTTGGTATTGAACCTGGACTGGACTGGTGACAACTGTAGTGAGCGAACAGTGCCAGAATACACCTGTCATTCATTGGCTCTCTGGCTGGGAAGCCCAAACAGCCACGGGCAACACAATTAATATTCTGTGGTGGAGACACCCAGATCTTGCTATCAGATTTTCCCAATGGATCTTTGAAATACTGAGTTCCAAGTTGCGTTTTTTTTAAATACACCCATGAAACGCCTCAGCATTATCACGTTAATAAGTGCAAATAAGCAACTTTGGCTGTCCCTTGTAGCTGACTGCTGAAGTAGTACAGTCTGCAGAAAGTACTGGGCTTGGACAGGCCTCCCTCACTTGCCATGCTCTTAATGCTAGGATTTGTGTCTTCAGCAAGGGCTTTCCGCCTTATCAACCAGTGTAGTTTGTCTGTTTGCCCTTGCCCTGAAGTAATCTATCTCGTCTTCTACTTGACTTCAAACTAACACAGCTAACTGTATCTCAAACCAAATGAGTGCTGTTGTGACCCACTGCCAAGAAGATTATTCAGTGATGTTGCTTCATTAATGGCTTAAGAAAGAAGGATCTGGTGGGCTTTGCTTGGGAAGCAAACCTGAGTTAGGTTATACATGCAGCACCCGCTCCAGCTGGTTTGAGGCAGGCACCACATGCAGTGAGGGTCCCAGGACAGGCGCTGCATGTGGCGCGTGTTCTGGGCTGCTGGATCTGGCATGTGGGGTTGCAGGGGACAAGGGGAGTCTGGGTCCTGTAACATCCCGGCTTAGAGCATCCATCTAGATAAGATTTGCATTCCTTGGATTCCCTTGAAGCACAAGCTTGAATTCTGCCAGGCTTGGTCTTTTTATGTGGCCCGAATTGTCTTCCATACGGTATCCTGCATCTGAGTCAGTATCCATAGATGTACAGACAGTCCCAAATGATGTTATATCCAATCCCCTGTAATTAATTGTACTATAGACAGGTTAGCTATCAGAGCTGATTTGGATGAGGATAGGACAGATTTGCTGAAGAACAACATTTCATATACAGGAACTGGCATGGAGGTACGTTTGGAGGTTATTTTTTTTAATGGATAAGCTGTGTGTCATTGGGATGGAAAGGACAACATGAAAAACCCAATACATGCCAGGAATGAATGACTCATGCTGAGTGCCATAGACTTAAGCTGTGATAATTGTCTCTTGCTTTTGTAGTTTGGATGTAATATAGATTTCCTACACCACAGAATGATGTGTGCAAGTTTATTGAGGAAAAGAACAATGTAATTTGTGTTACCACAGTTAGCTTATTGAACTGGCAAAACTCAGAAGGTCCCATCCCATGCCTCTGTTCAGATAAGTTCTCCAGTGTCTGGCAATTTCTCTGAACGACGGGAAGCTTTGGAGTCTGTATGAAAATGGCTTTTTGGAAGTCTTTTGGCTTTCTAGTTCCAGGAGTTGTCAAAGTATCTTCAAATAAAAAACAATACATTCACTTTTTTAAAAAAAAGACAAACTTTTTTTTTTAAAAGCTCTTTTAGCTGAATTCCTTATGGATAGCTTTGGCTTTGTTTTTGCATCTGTAGCTGCCTGTGCTTTTTAATAGAATTTGTGGTGAAGTTTGGTGCCACATTTGCAAGGCAGCTTGTGTTGTAACTGTTCTCTGAAGAAACAGACTGCCCCAGGACACTTCTCTGATGTAAAATATACAAGCAGGACCCCATCTCTTGCCAGTGAAATGTGTCATATTTTTTTTCCTTAGGAAAAGAGGAATTCAGCTACCTGCCAACACTGTTAGTGGCCTGCTGCAGCACATAAGTTACAACGAGCCACTCACTCTCACCCAGTTTCTAGCAAAGTTTGCTCATTACATGCCTGTGATCGCGTAAGTAACTCATTCCCAGTTGACTGCTGCATACGTCTCCCTGCTTTTCCATGGCACCTGCTGGCGTTGCCAAGTTGGGGCACTTCTGGTCTTGAGAATGGCTTTGACTTCTGTGTGCAAAATAAAATACATTTCCTTCTCTTTGACACAATGATGACAGAGAAGGGCATAAAGATATTTGACTTGCTTATCAGAAAAAAAGGAAGTTCATGTTCAGTCTTTCCTGCTG